TAGTCCAAGCATGGTAAACATGTTACAGATACCAAAATTGAGTACAGTGCCAACAGGCCTTACAATGGGCTGCATTGGGAGTAGATTTAGGATTCACATGTAATTGTGTTGTTAATATTTACTAAATTTTTGATGCAGTATCAAGAAATGTAATAATTCCTACAAACAAGGTCCGTATATGGGCTGTTTACAAGATCAAGGCTGATTCGTCTGGCTGGACCGACTTGCAAGTGCCGAGATCTGGTCTTGTATGTGTATATTGTTTTTATATGTTTTTGAGATTTGATTCACATGAGAACCGGGCTGGCCTGGTTAATTTGATGGGCTCCCGTTTGAGCAAGACAAGATCTCGCCTTTCCCGGCCAGCCCGGCAAACCAGACCGGCAATTGACAATTGTGTCACAACGCATGCTTTATTCTATCTACAGTAGAAAGCATATAAGAATTTAAAAAAATAACATTAATGAACAATATTAAAACTTCTGAAGCAGTTTCCTTCAATAAAAATAGCATTTTAATAATTAAAACAAATATCGCTTTCCCACCATATATAAAATTGTTTGGTAATTTCTTATAGCACTTGTCAGGCTAGCCCGCCTCATGTGAAACAAATAACAACTTGGCCCGGCCAAGCAAGCTAACTCGGTTTAACGGGCCAGCATGGCTCATATAAACAGATCCTGGGTGACTACCTTAGCTGGGCCAGTTTGTCATTTTCTTCATATAAAGCACTAAAAGCAGACTATTTATTCTTGTTAATTCTTACCTTACAACACCAGTTTGTGAACTCAATCCAGAATTCCTTGATTGTTGAGAACAATATTTGGAGCCAGGCGATAGCCCAGCACCAATATTAATCTGAAAATACATAAGGCAAATATTTCAGGCATTGTGTCACAAACATGTTACACATTATAAACTGAAGTTCATTAAGGGCTTGCAAGACTGTCTGGCCCCTTGACGAGTGAAATTGTCTGGCACTAGGCAAAGTAAAGCAACAGCAGGGATGCATTTGGGCACATTTGCAAGCTTTAAAATGGCCTTAATGGGTTATTAAGATCAAAACACTGAAAATATTATATTCAAATTACATTCAAAGCTTTATAAATTCTTCGGTAATTCTAATCCTTATTCATATATTAAAATGCTAACATATCTTTGAAGGCATTCGAATGTTTACAGTAATATATACAAGGGTCAAGTTTAGTGCCATATAATTTATATGTCGAACAGCCAAAGGCAATATTTATTGCTATTAAATTGTTAATAATAGTGCATTAGTGCGCGTAATTTAGTACAGAATTTGCTATAATGGCTTCGAATTGATATTTTATTCTTTCTTTCATTGCCAGAAACCAACATTTCGTAGGCTTTTTATGCAAATTGAACGCGGCAAATTTAAACATTCAACGGAATTTTAGGCAAATGACTCAAGAACAATCACACATTCTTTCGCAATTAAAGTACTTAAATAATTAATCAAAATAAAATATTCTTACCTGTGAGATCTGAATAACATTTTAAGACCTTTCCGATGCCTTTTCCGTCGTTTGGGATAGAAAAATGTGATAAATATATTGTAAATATGAACTGGAATTCAGTTAGCACTTACAGCAACCTCGTCCCCAGGGTCTTCCTCGTGGTGGCGCGCGAGCTGAGAACCTGGTAAATGAAATCTCCAAGATTCTTGGAGATTTATCGCATGCGCAGTAACGACAACGTTATGTTGCTGACTACAATTAGCGCTGGCACTTACGATTTTCTTGCTTAAAAATATACATGTTATCGTTACAAGTAACAGTAGAAATGCTTCAGAATTTATTCTGATTTCTATGTAAAGCAGGGCAGCATGCTTTTATTTTGCTTTGGTGGTAGTCACCACTCACCAAGTCAAATGGACCATTCCATTTAATAGCCCCCCTATTGAGGTCTGGATATCCTATGGGGGAGAATTTTTCTAGAGGGTAGCTTAAGAGATTTCCTAAAAATTACGTGTTTTAGTGATATCCAAAGGGGCAGGAACAATATCCTAAATGGGTAGAAAGATATCCATGGGAGTTCCAAAAATGTATCCAATGAGGTTCCAAAATGTTTAAGGTATTATGAAGAGACCCCTCAATAGGGTGTGTGTGGGAGGGGCTATATTAGATGGAATGGCCCAGTGTGCTGCAACAACTTTTAAAATTTGTATATATGTTTTTAAGGCACAATATGTAATGGAGTTTGATATGATTATCAGCACAACCTCAAGGTCTTGACTGAATGAACAACTTATCTGATATACTCCTAATTCCAATACTTTGCTGTATATTATCACCAGCTCAGATGTCAGTTGGATCACTTTGAATGAACATTGGAGTGGCACAATAAAGTGTCTGTATTAGGGAGGAGTCTATAAGGACTGAAGTAAAAGGCACACTTTTGGATATTTGAATCATAGCAACTACATATAGTGTAGGTTTCAAATAAAGTTTGAACAATGTACAACTGAAAATAAAAATGTATTTAATTTGAAACACTTAAAGGAATTACAACATATTATATGATAGTCATATGTACATGATTATAGGTATATTCATTAGTTTTACTAGCTGATATTTATGACCATCCTGGGTGACAACATTTATTTTTCCCAAGAGATTTTACTTGCATGATAGTAATAAGTTTAATAGTAACAGAGAAGTGTGATGGATATGTGAAAGTAATTATCATTAGAAATACAAATATTACACTGTAATTTTGACCATTGTAAATGTATTATTAAAGAAACAAAATACAAAAGTCAAACAAGGTTATTTAACATAATACAGTCATAATACTAAACTGGTTATTAAGTAACTACTGAATAGAGGGATCATGAAAATCTTCTAAGATTACTATCATAGCTCTGTAACAGGGAAAGGTATATTGAGTTTCTTCACCTTGATGAACAAAATCATATAGCATTAGAAAACTATAATGCCATCAACTAATTCCCATTTAAAAATCTTCATGTTGGTCACTGTTAAATATAATCTTGAGGCCATCTTAATGATTGTTTACTATCTGATTGATGACATGATTTAATATATTTCCATGGAATTCAAGTTGGCTTTTTCCCAAGTTCATGTAAATATGGTTCACCTATAAAATAATAAAATGTTTATTAGTTGTTTTGTAACAGGACAGTACCTGCTTTAAAGAAAATATAGGAAAGAGAAAATCGAAATAACAGTTGTACTGTATATGGAAAACAGAATAAAATCTTTCTAAGCATTTCTACTGTTATCATAATTTTATTAACTGATGAGATAATATGAAGTCTTTCTGTATGTTAAAAACTGTGATTTCTGAAGAACTCTTTCTGCATGTGTGAAATGAAGTCTTTCTGTATGTGTAAAACTGTGTTAGAAAATGTGATTTCCGAGACTCTGAGAAAATGCGAAAGCAACATGTGAAAATAAATCGAATAAATTCAGTATAAATGTACAGTACATACCTTGATATACAGAACAATCAATCAATATCATTTCATATTCCAGGCAACACTATCAGTGTTTATTCAGTCGCATTTGAAGCCGAATAGCATCTCATATATACGAGGGTTGCCAAAGCGAACAAAACGATGTCACAAATATGAGCGCCATACTCCGACAAATTGATACAATATGATGATGAATGTTGCATAGTTTTGTGCACATGTATGTTCACAGCTTATATCTGAAGTATTTTTCGTAAAATTTGTTAAAACTTTGAGAATAAATACATAAACACTCAACAAAACATGTATATTTTTAAGCAAGAAAATCGTAAGCGCCAGCGCTAATTGTAGTCAGCAACATAAAGTTGTCGTTACTGCGCATGCGATAAATCTCCAAGAATCTTGGAGATTTCATCGTATTTTACCAGGGTCTTCCTCAGCTCGCGCGCCACCACGAGGAAGACCCTGGGGACGACGTTGCACTTACAGCACAAAAAAATTTGAAACGACGCTATCCCGTGAACCTCTTCGCGCTCTGAAACGTAACTAAGCACCAGGCCCCAGGCAACGCGCGAACTATTGCTGCTTAACTTGCATGTCTGCATTTTCAATCAGTTATTGACTGTTAATTTTATCTATAATAAATTATCGAAAAGTCAAGAAAATTCTCTGCAATTATTAAATAAAACACGAGAAAAATTCAAACTTTAGAGTGTAAATTAGAATGTATAGTATGGTATCAGGGGCGACGGAATGTAGGTGACAGTGGCGTAACGTTATATCAGGGGGCCCCGGTTCAAAATTTTCGAAGACCCCCCTAGTAGAAGTGCCAAAGGCACAAGTCGAGCGCCGTATATGCACGAGTTTTTAGGGGTCTAGGGCATGCTCACCCGTAAAATTTTTGAATCTAGACTCTCTGAAATACCATTTCCCAGACTTTGGGGAGAGATGTTACACAATTCTGATGGTCAGAAAACGACATTGTGACATATCAGAGGCCCTGGCCAATGTTTTTGCTTCACAGCCTGAGCCTGGTGGCCCCCATTTGGCCCATTGGGGTTGGGGGCTCCCGGGTTCGCCCGGTCCGAGCCCATAGTAGTTACGCCACTGGCAGGTGAAAGATATCTTCTTTCCTGCAGGAGGGGGGCAAATAAAGCATTTTAATAAAAATAAAACACAATATTTTTCTCAAATTTACCTCAGGGATGGATCCAGCATGATCTAGGAGGGGGATTGGGGGCACCTCAAAAACAACTTTCTTTTTCAGACCTTTTTCGACCTCAATGTTTCAGAATATTCCTTAATATTTAACAAGTTCCACAATCCCAGCATTCCGGGGCCCCCGAGCTGGGGGAAATTGGGATCCCTTTCTTGACTTTTCCTTGGGGGGCGTTATACCCCCACACCTCCCCTCCCCCAGTAAATCCATCCCTGATTTACGTTAACAAATTAATTAACAAAGATAAATACGATAGGGGAGAATTCTTATGTTTAATTAATCTTGTGCACAGCCACAATTAACCGAGTTGCGAATTCTCTCCTAAGCATGCAAAAATACAGGGACCGCGGAACAGGGGGAGGCGGGGGCCATGGCCGTATAAAATCCAGTCTGCCTGAGTGAGCTATTGCCCGTGCTATCCTGCCTTTCCTCCCCCCTCCCCCCCCTCCCCCACACACACACACTTCAAAACAGTCTCCGCGGTCCCTGTAATACATATGCAGATTATTCTAGAAATAAGAATTATACAATTAAAATGAATCTACATACAAAATATGTTATATATGTCTTTAAACACAATATTTGAATGCCATCCTATAGTTCCTGTAGTTAAATTTTAACAAATTTTAAATTTTCTTTCCGTTCAAGAAAATTTAAGAAATAATTTCTTATGTGAAGAATTTGATTTCTTGTTTTAAGAAACTATTTCTTAAAACAAGAAAACCACTATTTTCTTAAGAAAATGATTGATAAGAAGATGAAAAAATCGTAAGAAAACATATTCTTGTTTTAAGAAAACAAATATAATTCTTATGTTAAGAATTTGATTTCTTGTTTTAAGAAAGTATTTCTTAAAACAAGAAAATCATCTTTTCTTAACAAAATGATTGATATGAAGATGAAAAAATCGTAGGAAAATACATTCTTGGTTTAAGAAAACAAATATAATCCAAGATATGTTAAAATTTTTTTTTTCTTATTTCAAGAAAAAATATCTTGCCAATGAAATATTTCTTATTTTAAGAATCTTTTTCTTATTAAGAAAATCCGTTTCTCGTTTTAAGAAATAATTTCTTAAATTAAGAATTTTTTTCTTAATAAGAAAATGATTTTTTGCTGTGCAAGGGCCTAAAATCTTTTATGCTTAAGAATTGCAAAGTCATTTCTTAGGAAATTCCGAGGTTGCGTTTTTTTTTATACACCCTGTATATGTGCGTATGCATGTACAGGGTGTCCCAAAAAAGTATATAGAAATTATCCTATTGTTATAATTTCAATGCCTGAGCACTACAGTATACTAAACGCAAGAGTGCGCAAGCACAATTGCATTGAATTTTTAATTATACCATTCGCATAAAATCCTGTGCTTAACAACAATAGGATAAGTTTCTATAGAGGGTACTTTTTTGGGGGACACACTGTATATGTATATATGTCTATTTTATAAGAGTAACTTGACTAATACAAGATAATTTGTAATTCTCCTTTGTGTAATTGATTTTGTAATATTAATCACAATTTGGTTGTGGTATTCTGTGATGTGTACCTAAAGTCGTAAATATATTTTTTTTGCATTTTCAAAGAACTTTACTGCAAACATTGACAGAGATACAGAAGCCAAAACAGTTCTCCGGGAAGCGATCTCTGTCCGTTTTCTTCGTGTTCATCCAACAAGTTGGTCGAATCGCCCTGCACTAAGGTTGGAATATTATGGCTGCTATAAAAGTAAGTGATTTCTTATCTAATGACGATACTAGAGTAATCAGTATATGGGGCTCGATCTTGAAAGGTCTGTTTACACTTGCAATTTTTACTGCGGAACGTTATTTCCAATTTTCCCAAGTCTGAATCATTCGAGTCATTCATTTGCCAAATCCTATTCCGAGCAGCAAACTTGCTGGTGAAATCCTATTTCCATGAGTTCAAATGACCAAATTCTATTATCTGGATTTCCCAGTTGGCAAATCCCTGCTCCCATTTTGCCCCATTCACGACTATTTTAGTAGTTTGATTTAAAATTTGATTAGTTTGTTACTGGCTTGATGGTATCTAGTCATCTATAGTGTATATGTTTACACTTGCAATTTTTGCTGCTAATCAGTATATAGGGTTCGATATTGAAAGGTATATTAAGGTCTGTTTACACTTGCAATTTTTGCGGCGTTTTTAGGTGCGATTTTCTTCTTCTGATGGATGTAAACGAGTAGAAGAATTATGAATGTTGAGATGAGAGTACATATCATAGAATCTTATATACACTAGATAGCGCATCATTCTTTTAGTAATATTGAGGTCAAGAATATTCCAGCGGTTACCCCCATTTGAATAGATGGCGGCCATGTTGGAGTTTCCCACTCGCTAATAAACGCTTAAAAAACAACAATGACTTTCATGATTTGAATAGTTTGAAAATGTATTTGGAATAGGTGAACTTAATGTTTAAGTTCCCCGTTTAAGAAATAGAAAACATACGAGTCTTCTCATTTCATGGGAATATCCTGAGTCTGCAATCACGGCTTCAATTTTTGAATTGCAGAATAATTAGATGCACTATCTAGTAAATATAAGATATCTATGGTACATATACCCGAAACATGCATACTCATCAACTCGTTCACATTCATCGGAAGACGAAAATCGCTCCTAAAATGGCAGCAAAAATTGCAAATGTAAACAGGCCTTAACAGTTCCATATAATTCACACCGCCAAGCTTCAAAATAGCGAAATACAGACACGAAAATATACAAACTGGCCAAGTATAATTGTAGATAACTAAAATTAGGTGCAACCATATACATGAATTTAGCCAAATACAAAGAACAAAATTAGACAAATTTACCAATATTAAAAGATTATTACGGGAACCACTGAGTATTTTAATAAAATAAAAAAATTTATTTTCGGAGTACCGTTGTTTTATATTTTAAAAGTAAAAGATTATGGCTTTACAACTTTAGTTAACTAATTAGGAAACTAATTAATAATTCACGCTCTGATACAATATCATGCTGATTTACATAAATTTTAAGTTTAATTCTTCTAAACCAGTTACTACTCATTCATTTTAAATTGTTAAATAATAGAATTGTTCGAGTCATCAAGACATATCACAAGCCATTTACAACATTCCTGTCCGTGTTGTATCGGACATCTATCGGATGTATTGAGTTTGTATATCCGATGAACATGGGCGCTCATGTTGTAAATAGTACTTACATTAGGTTATGGACAACAGAGTTCTTACAGAACGTATTTGTAAATAATGTTTGAATTGACTCTCGAAATAGCAAGTCATATCGTATGACTGCAGCCAATCAAGTCTATTGCCATTGGAGTATGTTTGCGTTCGTTGCATGTTTATTGCGATGGGCAGAACAACTAACGTATTACTAAAATTGTATACAAATTTAAAAGAGGTCGGATAGCGCTATCCAACGAATATAACGATTTTTCAAACTTTCTAAATTTGGCCGTTGAGTATAGTCTATAGTAATTTTTTTACCAACATGCAACGCGCGGCTATATGAACGAACTCCATTCGAGCACGTGTTCTCTTTTTCTCGGGAGAGGACAAACAAAGGTTAGTACCTGCAAAGTAGGGATTGCTGCGGGAATTAAGAGCAAATAGAACTAAATAATACAAATTAGTGACAAAGCACAATTATTACTCGCAGCGAGCCAACTGAGAAAAAGCAATGCATTTGTTGCCAAGACCAGGGGCCGGTTGTTCAAAGGTGGATTAGTGCTAATCCTGGGTTAAAACTTAACCTGCTGTTTTGTGTATTTATACACGTCTGGTTATTTCAAAACTTCAGAGAAGTAAACTCATATCGACCCAGACAAGATCTCTGAAGAAATATTTCCAAATTTATAGACAAGCTGTGAGGAAGTTTGCTTTGAATTTTAAGTTAACCTATAGGGTTAAACTAACCCAGCGTTGAACAACCGGCCCAGGAGTTAAAGGGCAATCACTGGTGACAGATCATATTAAACATGTCCGTCTCATTGAATACTTGCGTGTTAATGTTTTATGTCTATGGAAGTAATATTCACTTAATTAATTAAACATAAGCAAGAATATATCAATTAGTGGAATCTGTTGAATTACACGCTGCTTTTATAGTTCGCGTACAAATAGAAACGACACTACGACAGATACTATTGGATTTCATATTAAGTCTAATATACGGCTATGCGCATTTAACACTTATCATTTATAGACCCTCCGCTCGGGGGATTCGGCATAATATTTAATTTCCTGAAGTGATGATATTTTCCGAGGGGATTTGGGCGATTTGCCCCTAGGAAAATATCACCACTGAAGGAAATATCGCCGAATCCCCCGAGCGAGGGTCTATAAATGATATATTATACCGAAAGTTAAAGAACTCACTAAGTTCAGAATAAACTTTTAATAAAACTTGCTGAATATTATTAACTACGCGAATACAATTTTTAATTTTTTATGTATACCTGAGTTTTTGACGTTTCCACTTTAAAATATTTGAGCATGTATCCTTTGGATCATTAAAGATAACATACGTCTTGAAAATCTTAAATCAAATCTTCTGTACGAAATTACAAACAACAGCTCGCGAACGCCATATCACAAAATAGGAAAGTATACCAGAAGTGTAACTTGAGTCGGTGTCTTTGTTGTTTTACGTCCACGAAAATTTTAACTCGCTCACGCCAATCCACATCATCCTGGCTAGTACAACGTTTTTATCAGGTTTTGGTGTGAGTAGTGCCGGTTGTACTAGCCAGGATGGCGTGATTGATGACGAATCGCTTGTAAAAACGCGGACAAATACTTGCTTGAGTGAAACTTCTGGTATACCTTCCTATTCTGCGGCCATATTGTTTCAGAGTGTGGTGTCCACGCGTCACACGTGAGCGTGGGATACTATAATATCCCACGTTGGATCTGCCGTGGGATATTATAGTATCTCACGCAACAAGTGGTAAATTTGTCGTCGCTGACCAAAAAATCGCGGGCAGAAACAAAGCTCATTGCATTTACATTCAAAACAAAGCAGAAAGTTAGCAAGAAACTGTTTTAGCTGACGAGTTTTTGCTTTCCATTCAACGATTTACAAATTAACGGTTATTCTTTTAAAAGTCGACTATGAATTCTTTGTTTTGAGATGATTTGTTTTGTAATCGAGTGATTGAAGAAGTTAATATGCTTAAGAAGAAGCTTTAGAAGTGACCATAGCTTAGTTTTTTGCAATTAGAAAGATCTCTGTTATCAAGAAACTAGAAAACACAATTGAAATTAGAAATGTGAAGAAATTTGATACCCAAAAATTTGTTGCGGATCTGATGTAACAACAGTGCGAAAATGTGTATTTTTTCGCTGAAACTCCAAATGCAAAGTGGGAAATTTGGAAAATGCTATTCTTAGAAGTTTTAGACAAACATTCACCCCTTCAAAACAAAAAGATCAGAACAAGGCGAGTCCCTTGGATTAAAAGTTCCATAAAAGAACTTATTAATACAAGGGACAAGCTTAAAAGAAAAGCCATTATTACGAACCTCGAAAATGATTGGTTAAGTTATCAAAGAACTAGGAATAAAGTAAATATAGAACTAAGAAATGCCAAAAAAGATTACTATTCAAGCGAAAATTTCTGATGATAAGTCCAATCCTAAGGAAGCTTGGAAGACCATAAACAGTTTATTGGGAAGGCAAAACAAACCAACAATCGTAAATGAGCTAAAACTTGGCGAAAATAGTTTAACTAACCCTAAAGATATTGCAGAGGGTTTTAATGATTATTTTTCAAATATTGGCCCAAATTTAGCTAGCCAAATTAATACTTCAAATTTGAACTTTGAAACATATGTCACAAATACTGAATCAGAATTGACCGCATTCCAACCTGTCACGGTCAATCATGTCTACCAACTTCTGACTGGTCTCTCAAGCAACAAAGCCACAGGTGTCGACAAAATTTCTTGCAAAATTATTAAGATTGCTTCACCTGCTATTTTGACTCTGTCCTCATTCCCTGATGAATGGAAAATGGCTAGAGTAATACCTCTATTCAAAAATGGCCAACGTAATGTGGCAGGAAATTACAGACCAATTTCGGTCCTGCCAGCCATTAGCAAAATTATGGAAAAAATTCTGTATAATCAACTGTACAGTTACTTACCCAAATATAGATTTTTAAGTGACAGCCAATTTGGTTTTCGAAAATTTCATTCTACGGCTACTGCATTATTAGATTGTACAAATGACTGGTATGTGAATTTAGACAGAAAAATGTTTAACTTGGTTGTTCTAATTGACTTAAAAAAAGCATTCGATACAGTCGACCATCAAATTTTATTGAAGAAATTGGAGCTGTACGGTATAAAAGGCCAGGCACTATCTTTTCTCAATTCATATCTCTCAAATCGAAGTCAGAAATGCCAAATAAATGGATTTTTGTCATCGGAGAAAGTGATTAGATGTGGTGTGCCACAAGGCTCTATTTTAGGGCCATTATTCTTTTTATTGTACATCAATGATTTGCCCCAATGTCTATCAAAAACAAAACCTCGGTTATTTGCTGATGACACAAACCTGACAGCTTCTGGCGACTCGATAACTCGTCTTGAAGCTGCAGTGAATTCTGATTTAGAAAACCTAAAAAAATGGCTAATTACCAATAAACTTAGCCTCAATGTTGCAAAAACTGAATTTATGTTAATTGGCTCAAAGCAAATGATTAAAAGCGTTTCAAATTTGCAGCCAAATGTGGTAATTGAAAACAAACAGATTAAACAAGTGCATGAGTGCAAAACTCTTGGTGTGACAGTCGACCAGCATTTGTCGTGGAAAAGTAACACTGAAAATATTTGCAGGAAAATAACATCAGGAATTTCTGCTCTTAGACGTTTAAAGGATTTTGTTGACAGGCAAACGCTTTTTTCCGTTTATAATGCTATTGTTCGCCCGTACTTCGATTACTGCTGTGAAGTATGGGATGTGTTCGGTGAAACACAATAAAAAGGCTTCAAAAACTCCAAAATAGAGCTGCTCGAATTATCATGAATATGAGCAATGACACAGATCATTCTGTAGCATTGCAAGCAGTGGGCTGGAAGACACTTAAAGTAGAAAGGAAGAAAGCCAAGGCAAAAATGATGTACAAATTATTAAATAACATGGGCCCTCAATCACTCACTAACTTATTCACTTATAAAAGTGAGATGACTAGCTATAATCTTCGAAACGTTTCAAGTACTCTTTGTTTACCGCAACCGCGGACTAATAATTTGAAAAAAAGTTTTATGTACAATGGATCATTCCTTTGGAATTCTATTCCAAAGGAAATTAAAGAGAGCAAATCCCTTTCTTCATTTCGGACGAAAATCGCTGCTCACATTGATAATTAAAGCAAATATACGCATCTGTAAATACATTATTATCTCATATACTTAATATATTTTATACTATGTTTTCTACTTTGTAAATAGCTTTTAAATACTTTTCATATTTTCTGTATACTTCTTGTTCACACGCCCCTCGTGGAAATCAGCTGTAGTTGACGAGGTTAGCGTGGTTAAATAAATCTATCTATCTATCTATCTATCTAATATGGCGACTTGAACATGGGAGTAAATACCGTATACGTCGATCTGTGGCTTGTTTAAAACCGTAATAAACGAAGAAAGACGTGATATGAGAATGAAATGTAATTTGAAATTAACTTTATATGCCTCAAATTTTCCATCCTATGTTTCTTGATGTAACTTCAGCTGTCTAAGTTCAAAATACAAGCTCGCGAAATTTGACAAATTTTGAAAATATGTAAATATAGCTTGACTTTGAACTGTATTTTCTCAAAAATAGCCCGTGGCCTCAATTTCAAATATAGATAAATGTAAAGGAAAAACGTTTCGGCGTTTGTAGGTATCAAAAATATCGTCAGGAAAATAGGGGCTCACAATGTTTTAACTGAGTCTTTGAGACCCAGTTGCTTCGCACCTGTTGTGGTCAAATTTTTGCCAAGAATCAAAGGCCGAAATGCGAACTTCCTTCATGAAAACCGGCTCGAGAAGAATCTAGTTTGAAAATTTAGCTATTAATTTCTATTTCATGAGCATATATTGGGCACACGTTAAATATTTTTGTACTTGATGAGATTTAAAATTTGTTGTATATTCAAGCCCGGCTTTAGTGCAATTTTGGTGATGACCGGAAAAGAAATGAAGATATTTTAAAAACTAGCCGTGGCCTCACAATAAAACTTTCTAAAAATGTTCTCTGTTTTATGTATTTTCATTTGATATCTTAGGTATAAGCGTAAAAATAGGGGCTCATACAGTTTACGAGGTTGTAAAATGCATGACTTGCCTCTATTTTCATGTAAACATTCGAAATTTTTCGGCAGCAAAGTAGCAACTGTTTCAGATCGAATGCACACGGACAGCCCACCAGAGACAATGGCAGGGTACTGAAATAGAACGTCAGTGAAAAATTCTGTATGATTAATTTAGATCATGTCCATTTTCAACATAAAACAGTCATTTATTTCGGTACAAACATTTGACAATATTTACACGATTGTGCTTTTTTGTAAACACGCGTTGCGTGTATTCCACTCAATTGCGTGACTCATTTTGCTCGCGCAAGCTCAGAAAAATTTCCCACCTGTTATCTCACTCTGCATTGCGAAATCATGAGGGACAATAGGGACAATATTACTGTACACAAAGTGGACAATTTGAATTTGAGGTATAATATATAATTTATATTACCCAGTATTAAACTAAGAAACCAAAACTTTATTTAAGTCACGGCAGCGTTTCGATTTTAATGAGCGTTTAAAATCATCGAACTGTGTGAAGATGTAATTAGTATTGATCCAGATAATGGTCTAAACAAAACCGTTCAGGAAAACTGTACATTACTTAAAACCCCAACAGAAGACCAACAAAGTGTTACATTAAAAACAACCCACTCTAATGAAGCAAGGTGTGAAATTAATACTATTACTAATCTGACAAATGGCGAATCTCTTGCTCCCGAAACATACCAACCGAACGAAGAATTGTCCCATTCCTTGCCAGCGAAAACAGTTAATTCAACTTTAAAAACGCAATCAGCCAAACGCCAAAACAAAACACCGCAAATAAGGTCAAAGGTCACAAGTCAATCAAGTGTACAAAACGTTTATCCAAGGAGATATATTACGACAACAATATAACTGGGCTAATCGATAAAAGTGAGTGTAACCCAGGGGTGCCTGTCAGACGTGCCGAGTGAATGATCGTGTAAGAGAAATTTTCGGAAGAGTCGTTCAAACCACCGTCCCCGCGAATGGCAGAGGTACCTCGAGTTTGTTCGGAAAACGTTACATCCACGTGTGACTCGGCCTCGACCACAATCATGGCTGGAGCATCTAGATCCTGTTCGCCTGCGAACAACAAAGTAATTCCCATTGTTATATCGCAATTTCGGACCATAAGTCATCGTATAGTTGGGAATGTTTTTAGTACCTAACTACTGTGTCTCTTCAACTGACTGTATCTTAATTCGCATAGAATAATATGAAAGTACCAAAAAGTATTTGAAACTGTGTCTCCTGAATGCCCGATCTATCAAGAACAAATCCTCGGTTTGTTTGTTATGGACTCTCCACTGGTGCTGATGTTTTTGCTATTACTGAGACTTGGTTCACAGATAAAGATATACCATATCACATAAGGCTGAGATCACTTTGCCGGGAACTACTCGATCATCCCCGTACTGAGAGAAGCGGAGGTGCATGGGCGTACCGGAAGGAAAAATTTAGGGGGGCGGAGAGAAATTTGCCCGACTTTTCCGGATTTTGTCCGACAAGTACCGAAAAAATTTTTTTCCGAATTTGTTTTGGCGACCTCCCCCCAACCCCCCCCCCGTCGCCCAAAAAAATTTGGTCAGTGTACCATTTTAGGGGTCAAAAAATTTTTCCGAACATACCATAATTTTCCGAAACCTAACAAAATTTTTAGAAACATCACAAAACTTACATAATTTGTCCCATTTATTTTTTTAATAAACCAAAATTGCCCGACTGTTCAGCGAATATTGCCCGACTGCCCAAAAAACTGGGGGGGCTGCCGCCCCCCCCGCCCGGTACGCCCATGCGGAGGTGAAACAGCTTTGTTATTTAGGGACAATATTACTGTACACAAAGTTGACGGCGGCGAACGCAGGTCATTTGAGTTTTCCGAATGGATACTACAATATCGCTCCTGTAAACTGAGAACTATTATCGTTTACCGTACTCTCTATTCTGCTGCACATCCTGTTGTCACAAGTTTATTTTTCGATGAATTCTCCACATATTTGGAATCTGTAATCATGTCCTCCGAACCTTTGTTAATCGTTGGACTGTTTTAATATCCATGTCGATTTCCCACGTGATCCTAACGCTATTCGATTTCTTGATCTGTTGTCCTCTATGCCTTGATCAACATGCTGACAAGCCTACTCACACATCTGGACACATCCTTGATCTGATAATCACGCAGAATTCTCATGATACTTTACTTCCCACTCGTCCTTTAACAGATCATTTATTTTCGGATCATATCACAGTCATATGCGACCTCACATTAGGAAGAATACCACCAACAGAGAAACAAATATCATATAGAAAAATTAAAGCAATCGATAAAGCAGGACTTCAAGAAGAATTATTGTCATCAGATTTTTGTTTAAACCGTCCTGATACGCTAAATGAACTTGTGAAATGCTATAATGATACTTTTAAATTAGCTCAGACACTAAACCGGTACGCACCCCTATGTACGAAGCTCGTCAAATCTGGGCCATTAGTTCCCTGGTTCAATGATGATAATAAAATTGCAAGGCGAGAGAAGAGAAAGGCCGAGAGAAAATGGCGCCGTACTGGCCACACTGAAGACATGAGGAACTATAAAATTACGAAGAATAATACGAACAAGCTAATGAACGAAGCTCGTTGCACAACAGAGGTCAGCAAATCTCTATCGAAGGTATACAGCCTAGACCTAGCTATAAGCCTTCTATTTTTATTATTTTTTAAATATTCAGCGCTTTTTCACATGAAAAGACTGGGACTAGGTGATTTGAAGGCGGGGCGGAGGATACGCAAGAGAAAAAATAGAAGGCCTAGTGGATTTCCCAACAACAAGGCCAAAACTGCCCTGAAACTGCTCTGGTTGCGAAGTGTCCAATTATTGCGTTCTCAAACAGAATTATTTGCAACTTAACAGCGAATTTAATTAAACCGATACCGGTAAAATAAACTCATTTATGGTCAATAATTAAACTTACTATTTTTACTTGTATACACGGCTAGAAAATCGGGTTTTTTATCATAAAGTTTGAACCAACACTATTATTATGTTGCGAAAGGTCAAAATGAGTCAAAATATTACTACAAAATAGAACTTAGTTTAGTCATAAAATGTTTTTATAGTTAATGTAATAACTACTGGACAGTATAAATTGCCGTTTAGTTGTTGGTTTCTGATCAATTTCGGATCACAAAGTTATGGGGCTAATTTGAGAACTTGTGAAATCTACTAGGCCTATACGAGGCAAATGACCATTGCGATAATTACCAGCCGAGTAAAGGCCTAGGTCTATAGGCTGGAAAGTATACTATCACAACGTTTCGATTTGGACTCAGGAGTTCCACAAGGGTCGTGCTTGGGTCCCCTTCTTTTTATTATATATGCATTCAAGCTGTTTAAAATAATTGAAGATCAGCTTCCTGACTCACATGGTTATTCCGACGACACACAGCTCTACCTCAGTTTTAAGCGATGGAGTCTTGTATCGGAAAGATGAGACGCTGGATGATCCAGGATAAACTCCTGATGAACGATGGCAAAACTGAATTCTTGGTCATTGGCACTCGTCAGCAATTATATAAACTTCAGCCTATCAGCATTTCAGTGAATAATTCTGTGATTTCTCCTAGCCCTCATATTAAGAACTTTGGCAGCTGGTTGGACTGGAACTTAAGTAAAGCCTGTAAAGTATGTAAAGCCTGCTTTTTCCACCTGCATAATATCAGACGAATTAAGAAATATCTATCAAGAGACAACTTACTGATACTAGTACATGCTTTCATCGCCAACAGGCTCGACTACTGTAATAGCTTATTTTACGGTCTCCCTGGAAAGCAAATATCTAAACTACAGCGTGTTCAGAATGCCGCTGCAAGATAAGTAATATAGACGTTCCAAAATATTCTCATATTACGCCCGTACTGTATGAACTACACTGGCTTCTGGAACATGCAAGAATACATTTCAAGGTCTTAATATTTGCTTTTAAAGCTATTCACGATCTAGCACCATCTTATATTAAGGATCTCATAAATGTCAAATTGAACTTAAGATCTAACAATGACACTCTACTGGAATCTCCAGCAGGCAGGATGCTTACTACCTTTGGTGCTAGATCCTTTCACGCCGCTGCACCTCATCTTTGGAATATAATCTTTCACTTGGTATACGTTCACTTACATCTATTGACTTTTTCAAGAAATCAATTAAAACTCATCTTTTTAGGAATGTTTTTACTGACTTTTTATAAGATACAGATATTGAATTTTAAGAATGTTAATATTTAATAAATTCATCAGTAACATTGTAACTAATCAATAATGTAAATATTGTATCTATTCTTAACTCTGTGAAGCGCTTTTGATCAATTACTGTAAATAGCGCTATATATGTAATAAATATATTATTATTTATTATTATTATTGTATTTTAGATAGTATTCATATGTTTAGTAGTGAGTCACAGCATTTCGATTTTACTGCATTTTAGCGGATTTTAGATAGTATTTTAATATACGTTTCGCAGTTTAGGCTACGCTTCAAATTTTAATTTGTATTTGCATATTTCGTATATGCGATAACACATCTTTGATATGCATACACTAAACAGTATTTTAAAACGTTTTTGGTGTGTGCTTCTTAAAAGCAGCATTTACTACATTTTAGGTAACGTTAACCTAGCAGCTAGTAATTATAGTTTTTATATTTATTGTGAGGCCCATATCTATTGAGAGGCACATATCTGTAACTTTTTTGGCGGTTTAAGGAAGGTTGAAAAAATCACTATTTTAGTCTTCGCCGCACAACCGGTTCCTGAAAGTAATTTTGAGAGTCGTGTTGAATGACAAAATATTAATTTATACGTATTATGTGGTCTGCTTACGTGCGACCTGTCCGGCTATTCAACCCTAGACAAGTCTACTGTCGGTTTATGTAAAACATGAAGTACAGGTGTGAACCTTAAAGGCCTTATGCAACGAATTTTTCGATGGTGAGGTTTTTACACATTATTAAAATTTCATCTTTTCTGATCATTTTGATACCAATCTCGATGCGAAATTCAAACTAAAAGTTGGTAAATTTTGGGTTTAAAAATGGGTCCCTCTTGCGAAAAACTGGTTCGCGCTGTGACGTCACAGTAATGAGTCGTGCTGTGTGTAAACAAAGGATTAACATGTTTTACATAAGGTCCGTCGAAAACAACTCATTACTGTGACGTCACACCACTGATCACCAAAGGTCTTTTCTTTCGCAAAGAAAGTGGCAAAATTTGCGACTTTGAAGGCTTATAAAAATAAAGCTACTTGGAGTTTCGGAAAACGGTTTGCATCTTTCGAACCAGTGCAAAGAACTCTATAACGTAATGCAAAAATCTCACCATCGAAAAATTCGTTGCATAAGGCCTTTAATACGCATGTTTTGGTAAAATTTCGACTCAGCTATACTGTGCATATTATAGTCAAACCGTTGAAATTTATTAGGAAATAGAACGATCATTTCTTGCGCATTTGATCATTTAGATTAACGCTATATAGTCGGTTGGTTTAAAATTGGGTGTCTTTATATAATAGTAATTCATATGTACGATTTTATATGTTACAGAGTGTTTTTATTCTCAACCTCTGCCTTTTCTGGACAGCCAAATTACGTCTGAAAACGAAGCGAGTGTAAGCTATTCGGCTCGCCATGCTAAAATAGAAGACCCGTATGGTTGGATTTCGACTCATGATCAGTATTCTTGGTTAATGATAGATTTTCTACAGCGAACTACAATGACAGCTATTAGAGTTCGAGGTAGCCCAGGCTATAATATTTGGAGTCCCACCTTCACAATTGAATACAGTAACAATGAGTATACGTTTGAAACTTTCAAAGAACATGGGAGCACTAAGGTAAGCAAGATAATTATTTAAATTAAAACTCTTTCTCTGCACTATCCATTACGCTTAGAACGTGCACGTTTTACGCATGTTTCGTTCATATCTTCGGTTCAGTAAACGCTATGTATATGACAATGCCACCATTCGATTCAGTGTAAAAATATATACTAATTCACAACGATAGTTTTAGTCAATGGCTACATTATAGCGATTTATGAGCTTTGAAAGTCAAGCGAGGGCCAAAATTATTTCACTTCGTGGCAACCCCCTGGGGAATAGAATTTCTGTCGTTCAATGCATAGTACCATAGGTGCTCGATTACCACAAAAAGTTCCCAAGCAAAAAACTTGCCAAACACTGAGAAAATGTGTAATCAATGATTATCATCTAATAAACTGTATTACAGCAAGAACATGTAAAATTTTGTATTCAATTACAAGAAAAATGACTTGCATCATCAGAAAGCTTACAAAAAACCGCAAATTTGACTTTTAAACAGTTTTTTGATCTTTCAAGATCAAATAGTCTTTGAGTTATTGCTGTTTTAAATGTGAAAATTGGACCAAAATGTCGCTATAAGGACTGGGTACTAGGTCAAAAACGCGTTTTTGACAACGTATAACTCGAAAACAATTTGAGATATAAAAAAAAACTGTTTAAATGTTTTATACGTAGATTTGTGTAAGCTTTCTGGTGATGCAAGTCATTATTGCTGTAATGGAATATAAAATTTCACATTTTCTTGCTGTAATACAATTTAAATTAATAAGAGGATAATCACTGTCACTCGTTTTCTCGGTGTTTGCCAAGTTTTTTACTTGGGAACTTTTTGTGGCAATTGAGCATCTATCGTACTATGAATTGAACCACAGAAAATCTATTCCCCACGGCGTTGCCACTCCATCATCTCCGGCTTGAGTAGGGCAGCTGAAGATGTAGTTTAATGAAGTTTGATATTTACTATTGCATACTGACATTGATAGTATTCACGACAAATAAAATATACAATTTTGTAAATATTTCCTGCATGATTTCTGGGTTATTTCTTCGCTCACTCCTTGCTCAATTCAAACCGATCTTAGGTACCCACCCTAATTGAAATCTTTTGTTATCTCCCAGATTCTGGGAGAAACGTAACCAGCCGATAGCATGGTCTTTCCCAGCAGATGGAAAGTCCCTGCGACGGAGGTTGCTGCATGGGGCTTCGGTGGCGAAGTGGTTAGCGCACGGGGCTTCGGTGGCGAAATGGTTAGCGCACTTGCCTTTCACCTCTAAGGCCGTGGGTTCAAATCTCAGTGAGAACTTCTCAATGTGACTCGAACCCAGTCCTCATGTGAAAAGAGTAAAAGTCAACGCTCTGCCGAAAGTCGTGGGTTTTCTCCGGGTACTCCGTGTTTCCTCCCACAGGGAAAGTTGACCGGGTGGGTTAGGCACATAGGTCTGGACTCTGGAGACAGATCATTAATGAGGTATGGACTAATAGCGGCTGCTTAAGCGCCATTTGTAAGCTCAAAGCCTACCTCGGTCTGCTTCACGTCAGTCCGGTTCTATCTATCTATTCATAATGTAACCAGTCACTGAAAAGCCCTGATATAGGGAGTGTGCTGTGAAATATCTGTATCTGTATCTGTATGGCAGCTTGCTCATGCCATCGATCTCGCGCCATTGTGTGTATTGTTAGCGGCGTGGCATGCCATCTGCTGACGTCATTACAAATGCCAATTTTTGGAAAACAATGCGTTTTATCTCTATTGTCTGGTGGCATATAGTTTAAATT